GAAGAATACATCATTTTTAATTTCTGAAAAGAAAGGACTTTGTTTTGATTTCTGAACAACACTTCAGACTTAGTCTAATTATTCTCTTTATATTATTCTTAGGCTATATAAATAAATCTTACTGTTTAATACCTATTGTTTTCCCCTCACTTGAATATCTAGTGTTTAGCTCATGGTATGTGTCAGGAAACAGTTGTTGAATTGAATGCAGGTGATTTATCTGCCTCTGGACATTCATCCCATTTCATTCATCCCAAGAGAAAATTAATTTGTCATTTCCATGATTATTTGTGAAGACTGAAGGTACATTTTATTGTCTGAAGATTTTTGGACTGAAATTCTGATTTCTAAATTCTGCTACAATGATATATTTCTTTATGAATTAAAAAAAAAATAACAAAGAACGCTATTGCCACTATTTATTGAGTATTATTTTGTGCATTATTATTGCTCTTCAGACTTCTTTATTCTTTGGGGAACATAGGCATAATTTTCTTAGACATAGGTCAGAGTTGAATTTGGTAATTAAATATGTTGTAATTTGCATTATGGAAGAACAATAAGCAAAATAATTAGCATATATTTTTGGGTTTTGTTTCTGATTATTTCAGAATTATTATTTCATTTTCTTAAAAATGCTTTTAGTGATAAAGGTGGCCTTGATTAGTAAGGATGAAAGTATTGGATTATACATGTAAATAGATGTCTTTCATAAATACCATAAAATAATTTTAAAAAAAATGGGGCTGTAAACCATCCTAATATATATAAATCCAGGGTCCGTAACATCCAAAATGACTGAAAGCTCGACCGGACATCAGGCTGCGTGAGAAGCAGGCTCCAGTGCGCCAGGACTGGGGAGCAGGCTGCTGACCTCTCAGGGAGAGAGAAAGAGAGGTGGGGCTGATCAGCGACTACTGTGGCTGCAGGCCAGACCCAGCTTCTTTCTTTCTCTGGGCCTTTCCAACAGCCACGCCTCTCTTTCTCTGAGAGATCAGAAGTTCAGACCACTCTCCAGCAGCCTGGGGAGGCTGTTGATCAGCCCTGACTTTGATCAGGCCTGGAGATAGGCCTGGATACACTGACCAATGATAGGCATAGAAACTGACCAGTCAGAACCAAATCTGGGGGAAGTGTGAGGAGCCAGTGGCTGCACAGGAGGTGGAGCTTTTGATGCTCACTGGCATAGAAATCGGCCAATCAGAACCAAATCTTGCTATGCTGTGAGGAGCCAGTGGCTATATAGGAGGCGGACCTTTTGATGCTGACTGGCATAGAAACCGACCAGTCAGAACCTAATCTGAGTGAACTGTGAAGGCAGAACCTACGGTGGGGGGCTGAGGAGGGGTTTTAAGGGCAACAGCTGCTTAGTGTAAGGTATAAGAAAGCGGTTCAATTTTGTAATGCCCAGTTTGGCAGTATAGTGCATATGGCTGGCTATCAATCCAGATATAGGGATTATGTATTTTTGGTCTTGGAGTAGTTTTCGGAAAATATACAAACATATTCTCAACCAAAAGTTAATAAAGGAATCTTTTCTATAAAATTGACCTGGGATCCTTTTTATTTCTGCCCAAACGATTTTCTTTTGGCTTGTTTTGACATCATGTGTGATTTTCATGGGTGTCTTGCTGTTAGCATTACAAATGAAAATTAATTTTCTACAGTAAAAATTTTCTAGATATAATTTACTTACAGGATATTTTTCCTTACATGATATTACTCTACTATCCCTCCTTTTTTTTTTTTATTTAATGGATGCAGGGATTATGTATTTTTTTCTGCCAAGAGCACCTCCTCTTGCTGAAAGAGGCTCCTCGCCACACCTATTTAAGCAATCCTATCCTATATAATACATCTATACTAATAAAAGGGTAATATGCTAATTAGACCAGGTTGACCAGCCATTTTCCAGATCTCCGACTTCCTTCCAGACAAAGCCATGGTGGTGGGGGCCGAGGCAGAGGCAGTTAGAAGCCATCAGGCTGGCAGGGGGTTAGAGGAAATCAGGCTGATAGGGGAGGGCAATTGGGCGCAAGATCAGGCTAGCATGGGATGGCAGTTGGCAGCAACCAGGCCAGCAGGGGAGTGTAATTGGGGGTGAGATCAGGCTGGCAGGGGAGAGCAGTTAGGGGTGATCAGGCAGGCAGCAAAGAGGTTAGGGGTGATCAGGCAGACAGGTAGGTGAGCAATTAGGAGCCAGCTGTCCCGGATTGCGAGAGGGATGTCCAACTGCTGGTTTAGGCCTGATTCCTGTGTGATCAGGCCTAAACTGGTGGTCAGACATCCCCCAAAGGATCCCTGATTGAAGAGGGTGCAGGCTGTGCTGAGGGAAACCCCCCACTCCTGTGCATGAATTTTGTGCACCAGGCCACTAGTTTTCATATATGCAAGCAATTTTTAGTTTAAGAAAATGACTTAATTTTTTAACTGGAAACTTTTTTTTTTTTTTCTGTGTGTGTGTGTGTGTGTGTGTGTGTGTGAAAGATAATTTATACTTTAATATTTGTAGGTAGTGGAAATATTTATTCTTAAGAAATATTAAAATGAAAAAATGTTTCAGTTCTTTATCTTTTATTTTTATTTCTTTCCTCTAACTAATATTTTTATCTCTGTTGGTGTTTTTTGCCCGACTTTTAATTTTTAATTTTTTATTGATTTCAGAGAGGGAAAGGAGAGGGAGAGAGAATCAGAAACATCAGTGATGAGAGAAAATCATTGATTGGCTGCCGCCTGGATGCTCCCTACTGGGGATCAAGCCCGCAACCCTAGCATGTGCCCTTGACTGGAATTGAACTCAGAACCCTTCAGTCCACAGGCTGATGCCCTATCCACTGAGCAAACCAGCGAGGGCTACCCAACTTTTTAAAAAATGCTTTATTTTAATGCCAAAAATTATATGATAACATGATTAAAATAATTTCTTTTCATTATAACTGTCTTTGTTTATAAACTCAAAGCGTTCTTCATATTTAGTAAGTGCCCTGTTCTTGTTTTACTACATTGCTCAAGTCCGTGTGACATTTACCCATTGACATTTTGCAGAGTCTGAAACGATGAAGATTGTATCTAAAAAACAAGTATTTTGCTTCTGTGGACCTCTACTGTCTACCACAGGATTTTTCCATGAAAGAGAACTATCTGGAATATTCCTTTTCTCTTAATAGCCAGACAGAGTGGGGAAACAGAAGACACTATAGAATATGCATGTTTATATTAGATGGTTAGAAAAATCCATATTAATACTAAGTTGTACAAAGTGTGCTATTAAAACTATTCATAGAAGATGTGCTTTGATGATAGCTACTAGCACATGCATTTGAATTTCTAATATCATGGTTTAAGCATGATTTTGCATCCACCTGTAAAATGGCAGGCACACATTCATAAATGAGGTTAATGTGGTTAGCTTGCCAAAGTCCAGAAAAGTTAAATTTATTAATGAATACATACATTTTGAGATTTTGTAGGAATATGACTCAGAATATTAATTTAAAGTAGTTAATATTGCTCTGTTAAAGAACTTTTAACAGAGTAGTTAATTCTGATATTATTATGTTAATTGATTAATAAACATAAAGATTGTTGTTTTCTTAATATAAAGATTAATTGCTATTAATTCAAACTAAACATATCTTGTACACTGAATTATAGACTAAAATGGATAAACTTGCCATTTTAAATTAGGCGATGTTTTTAAAAACAAAGCTTAGTATAAATTTTATCAGAATGTTTTGGATAACCATTATGTCATTTTATTTTGCCTATAATCAGCCTCCTGAGGTGTAATGAGATATGTATTTCAATTACAAGTTTAATTTTCAGTGTTGGGGTCTATTTTGCTGTTCTTTTTAAATACTTCTTACCCTGTGAGTGCCTGAATGTCTTAAGTACTTTATTAGACCAGCTGGTCTCTTTGGCAGCCTGGTCCTGGCTTCCAAGTTTATTCTTCTTCCCTCATTGCCCCCTTCCACTGCCCTGATTCAGGGCCATAGTCTGAGGGACCATTGTCCAGCTATCTCAGCCCTATCAGTTCTTTGAGGCTAGTGAAGCCCTTCTGGTTCTGTCATTCAGTGCTCTTCTTTCTATTTCACCGCTTTCCCTTTTGATTATGGTATCTGTTATGTTAGTTGTTTCTTGTTTCTCAACAAAATTGTTTGCTCTTAGAGCAGGTAGCATGAATTGGCCACAGAGGCAATAAATATTGGCATTGTTCTGCTTTAGTTAATTACCTTCCTGGGGTAAATTTAAAAGCATCTGAAGAAAGTATGGATCTAATGTTGATTGGCACTCACTCTCCTCATGGCAGGTCCCACCTCATTGTGTCTTCCTTCATAACACTCATTACATCACCGGGATGGAAGCAGAGGTGTCCGATTTGATTAGGGATTGGTCAGGGTTTTCATTGGTTGGAATCCGTCATTTCATTTACATCCTTGGTCCCAGATTAAATTAATTTTTGGCACTGTTACGCTTTCTGAAGTTATGTTTCCTTTTTCCTACTAAAGCCTCTATGGTGATGGAACTGTGCATGCTCAAGGAGGAATGGGGCCAAGTGTTCTCAGAAAGCTCAGCCCTGTAAAGCATACTGTATGCCCCAGAAAGTCTCTTCTTTCTGGAAAAATCATTGACCTGATAGTTATATATAAAGTCATTTATAAAATTAGCTTAAGCACATATTAAATTTATTTGTCTTGGATAAAGTCTTGTTTATGAGACAAACAAGATTGATCATTAAGCTCCTGATCATTCCATAAAAGTCTTCTGTAATCAGAATGAGGGGGTTGATGAAATTTTTATAACTTGTAATGGTTAAATGTTATTACTTCTAAGACTCATTTAACTGGTTGGATTATAGAACCAGAATTTAATAGGTACTAATTTTTCCTCCTATGGAGGGTAAAAAGTTAAAATTAAGGGGGAAGTACTAACTACGTGTATGTTTACAAGATATTAGCTAACGATACATACTAGCTCTTTATTTTTGCTGTTTTCTTTAGGTGATTGAAGATAATACTGGAGTCCGCCGGGTAGTGGTCACACCCCAGTCTCCTGAGTGTTACCCCCCAAGTTATCCCTCAGCCATGTCTCCAACCCATCACCTACCCCCCTACTTGACTCACCACCCACATTTTATTCATAACTCCCACACGGCTTACTACCCACCTGTTACCGGACCTGGAGATATGCCGCCTCAGTTTTTTCCTCAGCATCATCTTCCCCCTACATTATATGAGCAAGGTGAGTAGGTTATTGCTGGCACTGACAGCTGTTGAAACTGATTGTAACACGTAAGTAGTTTAGGCGAGCCAGACAGGCCTTTGTTTCTCCCGTCATAAGTATGGCAGAAGAGGGACTATCTGATGTATAAATGCATGGGGAATTCCTAGCTTCCTTTGTCCTGAATTGTTTTGCAAAAATTATTTTATGGCTTACAGCTCTTTCTTTTATATTTTCTAAATTCTGCCTCACTATCCCACCCCACAAGGAACAGGGACTGGGATAGCCAGTGATGTGTATTTATTACAGTGCCCTGTTAGCATATTTTTATGTGCGAGTAGCTTGAGGCCACCACAGCACCTGAGTTCCTAGACATCCATATAGTCTAGCAATAGCAGGGAAGTTTATAAGGGTTTTGCGTCTCATTTCCAATGTGAGAAGACTGTAGGTCTCAGTTGCCTTTGAGTTTCCTGGATGCGCTCTGTTGCAACTTGGCAGAACTCGGAATCTCCTCGCTGTTGATGGGGTACTCCTGAATCCTGTTTCAGTTTCAGAATAGCCATTAGGGCAGCCACAGTTTCACTGGTTCTTAGGCGAATACTTATCTTGAAAGGAAAAGGAGTCTCAGAGATACCAACATTATGTCTTTTTAATTTTAGCTTTGGTATTAGTTTAGACTAAAGCTCTTTTCTACCACAGTGTATACTAAGATTCCAGGTTAAGTGAGGGTAAAAATTAGACTTAGTGACAAAGCACCCCAAAATATCAGATGAGTGGGCATATTCCATGAAAACATTCCATGAAAAACTGAAAAAGATTCAGTTTCTTAAACTCTTCAGGGCTTTGACTTACTGTACATAAAGTATTTGAGTGTTAGTCACGTTTTCTGTTTAGGTCTGCACTTAATGACATTGTGAAAAGCCTTGGCTATGGACCCATAGCCTGATGAGTAGTCTGTTATTTTGTTATAATCTATTTACTTTGCAATTTTAGACAAAGGAATTTTAATTATTAGAATTAAGCAATATAAATATTGTGTGTTAATTTTATAGGGTATTTTTGTTTAATTTCATTAAAATAGCACAGAGTAATAACGTGCAAATAACAGTGCCTTTATTGATTTTAAATTAAAGAAAACAGTAAAACATAATCCTTTTGCATTAATTTAAAAAATCCATATGTATATTTAAAAGATTAATATGTTAGTGCCCAAGTTAAAGCATTGTGATATTTAAAATATTTATTATCCTTTTTGTATATTTGAACATAGTTATTTAGGCACTTGCTCTTTTAATAGTGTTGTATTTGTTTTTTCACATTAGAGAGAGAGAAAGAGAGCGAGAGTAAGAGAGAGAGAGAGTGAGAGAGAGAGAGAGAGGAGAAAGAATTGAGAGAGACACATCAAACCTGAAACCCAGGTATATACATTTGACTGGGAATCAAACCTTCCACCCTGTGGTGCGCAGGCCCATGCTCTAACTATTTAGCAACATGGACCAGGACCTGAATGTTTGCTTTTTAAAGGTCTTCCTTAAGTTTTGTGAACAGAAAGAAAGTAAAAGTAGAGCTTTACCATTAAACAATTAAAACATTAGTTAACTTACCTAGGGTGACCATACAGTCCTGATATGCCTAGAACAGTATTGGTTTAGGTCTCTTACTCAGAGAAATGGTTTGGAGTGCCCTCTTTTCATTTTCAGAAGGATTCAGGTTTGGTTGGTAATTTATGTGGTCACCCTATGCATGTAAGGCCCTTTTTTCATATAAACATATAAGGACCTAATCTATACTAAGTATTGCATTTTTATAATATCTGAATATTACTTTTAATTTCTTTACATTTAATATATCCCCCTTCCTCTGAAATCATGAGATTATTTTGCAGGCTCCCATTTTCTTTTGAGCCACTTAAAAAAATGCATAGTTAAGCCAGGTTGACCTTCTGCTAGTCAGTTTGTCTTGCCTCCTGATTATTCCAACATAGGAGTTTGACACCACAGCATATTCTGTTTGATACCAAGTTGAAGGGTGGCTTATGTTTACCTCTACAATATCTCCTTGAATATTTTCCCTGATTCTGTGAACTTTGATTCTTTTTAATAGAAATTTCTCATCATTTTAGTAGGTTTTATTCAAATGTTGGCTATTTTAGATGCCACAAGTAACTCCTTTTATTCTGGTTGCCATATGCTTTCCAACAGAAATGCTATTCTGTCTACAAAGGTAACTATATATTTTTTTAAGTATCTTGATTCTAAGAACACATTTAAGGGGTATTTTATTTGTTCTAACTTTTTATATATTGCAACAGCTGAAAAAATATTTTGACAGTCAAAATCAAACTTATAAGTTCAATCAGAATAGGAGCACTTTTTTTTTTTTTTTTTGCGGGTGTGGGGGGGAACACTAATTTTGTCTTCTTTAGTATAAAAGTGTCTGGAACATTCCTGAACACACAGTGTAGTAATTAAATATTAATTATTCCTAGCCTGGCTGGTGTGGCCCAATGGTTGAGCATTGACCTATGAACCAGGAAGTCATGGTTTGATTCCCAGTCAGGACACATGCCTGGGTTGTGGGCTTGATCCCCAGGGTGGGGCATGTAGGAGGCAGCTGATCAATGATTCTCTTTCATCATTGATGTTTCCTCTCTCCTTCGCCCTTCCTCTCTAAAATCAATAAAAATATTTTTTTAAAAGATTAATTATTCCTTGATTGATCAAAAACAAATGGGAATATTTTAAGCATGTATAACATGTATTTTATTTTCTTTAAAATATTTTTATACTATATTTAGTAATATTAAAAAATTGTTATAGTCAGGTTATTTAACCATTTAATAATTTATTATTGAAAAACATAGACTGAGCTGGTGTTTGTCATAATCATCCATTTTAGAAATTATACCACTCTACGGAATGTCAAGCTACATCACCCGGGAAGACCAGTACAGCAAGCCTCCGCACAAAAAACTGAAAGACCGCCAGATCGACCGCCAGAATCGCCTCAACAGCCCACCCTCTTCTATCTACAAAAGCAATTGCACAACCGTGTACAATGGCTATGGGAAAGGCCACAGCGGTGGAGGCAGTGGAGGTGGAGGTGGCGGCAGTGGTGGTGGGCCAGGAATTAAGAAAACTGAGCGTCGAGCAAGAAGCAGTCCAAAGTCAAATGATTCAGACTTGCAAGGTAATGTGCAAAAATGTTTTCCCCGAGGAATGAATTCTTGAAATGGGGTCATGCTAAAAGAAACATCTTTTACATAAGAACATTATTATATCATGGTGGTTGGTCTTTCTACTAGGAATCTTTGGGTAGACTTCTGATTTTTTTGTCATCTCTCTTTTATTAACACTTCATGGCAAAAATATTATTTTTTGGTTATATGTGCCAAGTACTACTTAATCTCAGTAACAAGTATCTGAAAGTGTCTTTACATTAGCCTTTTTCAGTTGTGTCACTCAAAGTAGATAGATGTGGAAGAGATTCAAAGTAAAACAACATTTCTAAGACAAAGAATGCTAGTTTAAATCTCAAAATAATTATATATCATTAAACCAGGTGTAATTCTGTGCTGTACTGAAATTTATCACTTTGTAAGAGGAATATATTCTGCTTAGTTTCAGATATGAGTTATTGTTTAATGCTACCTTTGGCATCCCAAGTGAACTATTCATAGACTAAGAATGAGATGCAAGAATTAGGGTCACCACATATTATAGAGAGACATCCACTCAAAAGGGCCTATTTTTTTTTTTTTTTTTTGCATATTAATCTTGTGGTTATAGATCAGTTAATTTTGGGAAAGAACATATATATGTTTTTAAATGCAGTTTTTAGGCAAGATTTAGAGAAAACTTATTTTAATGCCACAGGAGTTAAAAATAGGCTTTTTGAAGAAGGGAACTTTTTTTAAATCTTCATCTGAGGATATATTTATTGATTTGAGAGAGAGAAAGAAAGAGAAACATTAATGTGAGAGAGAAACATCAATCAATTGCCTCCCGTATGCTACCTGGCCAGGACTTGAAATCCAACCTTAGGTATGGGCCCTGGTCCAGATTTGAACCTGCAATCTTTTTGGTGTACGGGATGATGCTCCAACCAGCTGAGCCACCTGGCTAGGCAAGAAGGTAACATTTTGATAAGCTAGGTGAGTTTACAGATAAAAATAAAGGCATGAATAAATGTAAAAGCCTGGATATGAACTGATTATTATATTCATTAAATATGCCCCTTCCTTATTGGAGCATAACCGGGGGGAAACTGGACTGTGTATGTGAGAATCCGTGTGTGAATGAAAAAGATGGAGGTTATGTATGTTTGATTGTGTGTGGAAAACTGGGCTGTGTCAGAGCAGAGGAAAACGGTAAAACCAGACTTTGACATCAACATTTGCCCCCATATTGTTTGTATGAGTGAATTGTAGCATAAAAAAGAGGAATAGTAAGATAACAGTGAAATGTGAACAGTAATTTCTCTGAGTGAAATTATTATAAATTCTTTTAATTTTCTTTATTTTTAATTCTCCAAGTTTTATGAATTATAATTATTATCAAGCATTTTCCCCAAGCATTATTCTTACGTTTATTAAACAAAACACAAATAAGTATATAAAAGAGACCAAATATTCAAGAGGCCTATAAATAGCTCTTAAGGCAAAGCCCTGTGTTTGCCAAATAGAATAATTCTCATGAAGTAATACTGTCATTTCTAAGTTTGAAAGTATATTACTACCTTGGACATAGAGTAAAATTCACACACACAAAATTAGAAATTTTTTTCCTAAGGAGAATTTCAGTCCATAGGAAAGAAAGAAAGAATGTATAAGCTATCTTCAGAAAGCTTATGAGGTTTGAACTACCTTGATTAATTGATTTATTCTATAATAACTTTTGCTCTGCCTTACACCAAAAGAGATTTAAGGAAGATGCCATAGATACATATAGAGGCTCATTTCAATAAGGACCTGACAGGTTTACATATTGGATAAAAAATAAGTATCCAATTACCCAAATGCATTGAAAACTTATGTCCTGACAGAAATCTGCACACAAATGTTTATAGCAACTTTATTCATAATTGCTAAAACTTGGAACCAACCAAGATGTCCTTCAGCAAGTGAATGGATAAGTATGATGTGATTCATCCAGACAATGGATTATTACTTGGAGCTAAAAAGAAATGAACTGTCAAACCCTGAAAAGACAGGGAGGCATCTTAAATGCATATTACTAAGTAAAAGAAGCCAAATTGAGAAGTCTGCATACTGTATGATTCCAACTAGGTGATAGGAAAATGCAAAACTTTGGAGACAGTTTTTTAGATTCTACATATAAGTGAAATACGATATTTTTTTTCCTCAGTCTGGCTTATTTCACTTAGCATAATACGCTCTAGGTCCATTCAAATGGTAAGGTTTCATTCTTTTTTTTTTTTAATATTTTATTGATATTTTACAGAGAGGAGGAAGGGAGAGAGCTAGAGAGCTAGAAATGTCGATGAGAGAGAAACATCGACCAGCTGCCTCCTGCACACCCCCTACCGGGGATGTGCCCGCAACCAGTGTACATGCCCTTGACCGGAATCGAACCCAGGACCTTTCAGTCCGCAGACCGACGCTCTACCACTGAGCCAAACTGGTTTTGGCAGGTTTCATTCTTTCTAATGGCTGAGTAATATTCCATTATGTGAATGTACCAAATCTTCTTTATCCATTCATTTATGGATCTTTGGTTGCTTCTGTATCGATCAAAAACAGTCACAGGGATGTAAAGTACAGGATAGGGAATATAGTCAATAATATTGTAATTACCATACACCTAAAACTAATATTATATATCAACTACAATTGAGAATAATATTTAAAAAACTATGAAGACAGTAAACAGATTCATATTTTCTAGGAGTTAGGAAGAAAGGAGGAATGACAAGTTGGAGCATTGAGGATTTTTAGGGCAGCAAAAGTACTCTGTATACTATAATGGTGGATGCATGCCATTTTAATTTGTCAAAACCCATAGAATGTGTAACACCAAGAGCTCCATATACCCTAATGTAAACTATGGACTTTGGGTGATGGTGATGTATCGATGTAGGTTCATCATTTGTAACAAGTGTATCACTTTGTGTGGGATTTTGATAGGTGGCACAGGCTATGTGTATGTGGGGACAAGGCATATATGGATGGGCACACCTAAAACTGTTCTTAAAGGCAGTCTATTAAGTAAGTATCTGAGGAAACTGAGGACAAATGAGATAAGAAATTAGTAAGTTTGTGCATAAAGAATCCTGTAGAATTCCTTTTGTAGGCCATGTCTGAGGCTCTGAGATTCCTGGTTGTCAAAGCAAAGAGGGAAACATGCATCAGGTGGAGAAGGTGAACAAAAGCACCTCTTAACCAATATGTAGTCCATTATGTTGCTCATGTTTCATTCTGTTTCAGAATGTAGTAGTAGCCGTAATAATCCCCAAAGACTTTTTCTGCTTTCTCATAATTGGGAACATTCTATCCCAGAGTGTCTTTGTGCTTGAATTTATTTCAGCTGACTACTATACCCAGAAAACAAGTCTTTTACATAATTCTGAAGTGTATGACACCATCTGATTAATATTAAACTGCAGTTAATACTAGAGTGATTGATCTGTTTCCATTCATAAATAGGATATACACTTATTAACCATGATATGTGGCTTATGGTATTTTCTAAATTCTACATGGGTTAAGATGTCCATATTTCCAGAGGAGGACAACATTTTTACTTCAGAATTCCCTAGCTTTTGAGGAAATCTAAATGTGTTATAACCTCTTATCTCTTACAAAAAAAAAAACAAATGTTAACAAAAAGGACAAATTTTAAATTTTACTTGGTCCTGTGATAAAACTAAGTACACGTAGTACACTCTCTCTCTTTTTCTCCCTCCCTCTCTGAAATCAATAAGATATATTTAAAAAAATATAGATTCCTAAATCTCATTTCAGACCTCCCAGAGTCAGAATATCTTTGCCTAATCTGGCTTCATGTTTTTGTTTTTGTTTTAATCATATTTCCTCTGGGAATGATGGTCAGTCAAGAGAACTATGTCTGATATGTTTTTAAAATATATTTTTATTGATTTTAGAGAAGAAAGGAGAGGAAGAGAGAGATAGAAACATCAATGATGAGAGGAAATCATTGATTGGCTGCCTCCTGCAACCCAGGCATATGTCCTTGACTGGAATCAAACCTGGGACCCTTTGGTCCGCAGGCCAATGTTCTATCCACTGAGCCAAACCGCTAACGCGAACTATGTCTGATATTAAAGATGGTTACAGAGGCGTGATTCATAATGTTGTTCCCGATGTAATAATATAGGAACCTAGCTTAACTAACCGTTCTCTACCTATTTCCTGGGACTATGCCTGGTGGATGGCAAGTACTCAGTAAATATTTATGGAATGAATCCTTTATCTTAATTGCTTTGTCTTTCAGAATAGGCCTTCTGTTTGAACACGTAATTATTGTACCATTTCCTCTTCTAGAACAAATTGCTGAAGGATAGAGTTCTGCAGCCACCCCCTCCTTTCATTTACAATTACCTTCAGGAAAACAGTCTGGGCAGGACAAACTCCTACTGTGGCCCCAGAACTACCTGGAGTTAATGGTCTGATGTGGGTGGAGAACAGTTGGGGTTTTGGTATCAGACTTCCGGCTTTGTCACATGCTATTATTTGCTTTTAGTATTCCCTTCACCTGTAAAATGGGTATTTTAATTTCTATTATTAAATATTAAAAATAGCCTATCTTAGTTCTTAACACTTCAGTATAATGGTCACCCTTGTTACTTGAACATTCTTATCATCTTCCTCCTGTAGTCTAAGGGTCCACTCTCATCCCAGCGATCCCCTTTTCAAAGCAGGTATCTCTCTACCCTCCCTCTGCTCTTCCCCTGCAACTCCTTCCCTTATAAATCAGATGTGGCCTCCTCCTGCTTGTAGCCATCTTATATTTTGAAAGCCAAACCTGGACCACTCCTTCAGAAAGCCTCATTCAGGCTCTCTGGGAGGGGCTGCTACTGGGCAGAAATCTGGCACCTCAGGCCAAGTGCCACGTTGTGGGACACTGACAGCTCCAAGTGAGAGAGCACTCTGGATACCCTCGGCATGGACCTTGCTTCTCATACATTTCTTATAAGCTCAAGCTATGATT